GAAATGAATTGGGTTACTGGTCAACAAATAAATTTGGAGTTGTTCCTCTAGCTCACCACCAAACCAGCCTGCCCTGTAACGAGAAGCTTTCTGATGGGTGAAGAAGGCAAATCTGGACCAGGTGGGCTGAAAAAAGCTGGGGCACCACTGCTGCAGGGTCCTGTCCCAGGCCAGCTGAGGACCCTCCAGAAAATGGTTCCCAAAAAGCAGTTTAGCTGATGCCACTCTTTGTTTCACCATGTAAACAGATGCGAATGACTTGTCCCCGGGGACAGAAAATGTCACATTTGATGAATACAGATGTATCCAGAGAGATCATAAAATGTTCCTGTGTCTTTAGGGCAGGAAGGGGATTTTTTTTCCCTCCTTTGTTTTACTTGACTTTCACTTTTTTTTTTTTTAATATCACAGAAGATGAAAAGAATTAAGGTCTGATCCCTACAGTGCTGCAGGCATAAAACTTCTCTGGATATCAGCGCTTTGGCGGGGATCCCTGCATTCAAGCCACAGATCGGTATTAATGCTCTGAATTTGCTTTGGCGGTTAAAAAAATATAAATCCGTGAATCCAGAACGTGGCTATTCCTGTGCAGTGGGCAACAGCGCAGCTTTGTGATTCACTGCCATCTTGTGATATTTAGCGTTTTCCTGAAAGGATCAACACAGAATATCAATTAAAAAAGAACCCCAAACAACCACAAAAAAAAAAAAACAAAACCCAAATCTGTTCCTAGTATCCATAGTTACAGAGAAAACCTGGGAACCATGAGACTGTTGGGCTCTAAAACTCATATGACAAACAAATCAAATGAAAAGTTGTGACATTTGCTGCCTTTGTATTTTTATAACCTGTAAATGCTTCACATAGGCTATATTCTTTCATTGAAAAAAGAAGCTGGAGTTTTCCTTGATTAGATCTCACCTCGTGTGATATGAAGACAAGGTTTTTCAATCTAATTTTTTTGGCCTTTGCCTTCGGGTAGAATGGCAAAATTAGGACAAGCTCGCTCAAATGAGCTAGTAATTATTATTATTAGTCCTTCCATGTACAACCAGAGTACCTGGGAGCTCCTGTGCTAGTTCAGAGGAAAAACACGGTGATAAATGCTGCATAATGCATGGGCAAAGTTTAACAGAAAATAGGGATTTTTTTAAATTTTTTTTTTTTTTAAAGTCAAGTAATAGCCAGCTTCTTAAAAACGATAAAAGTAGATTGGACAAAGCAGCAGGAAGCAAAACACCAAAAGCATCCCATCTCTAACACAGAGGGGTAGCGGGAGTAGGGGTCCTTGCCCAAAGCTAATTTTGGTGAGGGATTTGCATACAGATCATCCCTAAGTGAAGAGCCCGAGTAGAGCTCAGCTGAGCATCGTACCTTGGCTGTTAGCGGTAAGCTATAAACAGCCAACGCTCACTTGCAAAAATATCTATGAGAAACTTCAGTATGCGTTTATTACGTTTTTAAAATGGTAGATACTCCAAGAAAGCAGTCACTGAAGAGCTTTTAAATTTTTACGAATTCAGAACACCCAAAATCTACATTGCATCCCAGTATTTTATTATTTTACTGTATTTGCTATTTTACTGCCCTGAATTTTATCGCTGACTGTGCCAGACGTGACGGAAGGGACCACGCCGACACAGATGAACGCGGTGGCTGCGTTTTGTGCTTCACCCCGTAAAATTTTCCATAGGCACAGTGGGTGGATCAGTGCTCCCAACAAGTCAGGCAAATCTCGTACTGTCCTGCAGGACTGTGGTTCCCTGCAATGGAGGGTCAGGGCCGGTTTTAAGCAGGGGGGAAGGAGGAGAGGAGAGCACCCCCGGGTGTTGATGGACCATGGCACCTCTCTGCCACCATCCTCAGCCCCCACCCTCATCCAGGACATTGGGGACACCCCCGTCTCCGCCACGACACCCAGGGGTGTCCCCTAATTTAGTGCCAGTGGGGATACTTGCCTTCCCGTTAGGTGTCTCTTCCCCTGGGATATATGAAATGTGAGTTATCGCATCATTTATGAATACTGTCAGTGAAATAATTTTGGGGGCATAACCCTTAATTTCTTCCCCCCTCCCCTTCCACAGAAAAAACATGAACATAAATTTAAGAAGCAGCGTAGGTTTGAATGGCTTCATTTATAAACCATCCAAACGGCTTGAAGTAATTGTATTCAAGGTTTTAAACTGTCTTCTCGGACTTTGCAAGTGGATTCCCAGAAAATATCGTAATGCTTTTTAATAGAAATATCAGTTCCACTTAATAGTAGTGGCTGTTCCCCAAGGCATTCGGCTGAACAGGACCTGTGGGGCAGAACCCCAACACCCGTTCGTCCTTATCTCCTGTAGGCAATCTAGAAAACCTGAACAAGTGAAACAATTTCTTCAAGACAGAGCACAGTTTGCTTCCACCTAAGTTTTCAGAAGAGTTAGAAGCCTACGTGTACTTTTTGTTACCTAGATTTTTTTTTTTCCTGGCTCATAGAAGTGGCTGGCCTCGCAAGTCACATGCAGTGACGATCACAAAGCACCCCAAAACGACGAGAGTGAAATGAGCTTTCCTGAACGCCGATACGGTGCAATTGGGTGCAAAGAACAGGAGTGGAAATGGTGGAAGAGGATTACAACGGACACTCCAGCTGCTGGCATAGCTACACGGTCACATCTTACCCTGGCTGATGACGTCAGAGACTACAACACCGTTAAGCAGGATGACATCAGCTCTTCAGAAGACCCATCACCAGACCCGTGCGGCAGTTTCCACGCAGTAACTCCACAACCTTAGGAAGGGCACGGCCAGGGTCAGGTCCAAAATGCAATACCGGGAATCCCTAATAGAGAATCATGGATGAAAGCAAGCACAGACCCCCAAACCCTAGCGTTAGGTACGAGCTCACTACTAGGAGGGACCCACAGGTTAAATCTAGTCTCCCACAATGACAGACAACACGCAGAAAGATCTACAAAACTTGTTCAGTGACCCACATCTCACATGAAAGGGCTCGGTCTGGCTACTTTGTCTGCCTCAGATGCTTCACTTAATACAGCAACACTCCAGAGCTCGAGACAGGAGCTTAGGCAAGCGGCGCTTCTGAGGCGCCTGTTATTGTTAGAGCCCGCTAACGGACCGTGAATTTCACTTGTAATAAATTTTTTTTGCTACCATGTTCTTTTGCCTAGCACCTCCTTTAAACTGCAGCTTTTATTCAGTCTTGCTGCAACCTGTCAATGAATCACAAGCAACCCTTCTGGCTTTAGCACAGCCCTGTGACGCTCCAGTAATGAAACGGTCTGAATTATTTTTGTATTCCGAGACACAAATCTTGTCCGAGCGAAGATAGAGAGGTGTGTAAAAGGAGATTGCACACACCATTCTCGGCAGGCAGCTGGCCCATGCTAAAGTGGCGGGGCAGTTTTGCTGGCACAGTTGTACAAGCAGAGCAGAAGCAAGCTTGCACTGCACAGCAGACGTGGTGTTATTTGTTACGTTCACAGAAACTGAGTGTACTTTGGAGTGATTTATGTGGATTTAGTGGAATACCTCTGGTCTCTGACTGGCACGCTGGAGGCTACGGCACTGCTAGCTGGCTCTTTTATCCCATAAAATCCTTTAACACATTGAAAAAAAACCAAAAACTCTGATACAAATGTCCGCAATTCTTTCAATATTGTTTATTTTATTACAAGAATAGGTTAAAAAAAATCATGGCAAAAATCAAATTTTGAATAATTAAGAGACTTTACAAGCCTCAAATCTCAAGTAATCTCTCTGCTGGTTATCGTTGTGCAACACAGTAACGACATACCGGTCTTTCACATCAACATGTGGTGCTGCACTGTAACTCGGCGCTCCTGCAGACTATCACATTCAGCGGTAGCGCATAGATTAAAAAGGAAATATGCTTCCTTCCATTGTTTTTTTTGCTATCTCACCTCACTGATAACACAGCTTTTAGTCTACTAGAGTTATCTCTAAGTTTGGCAGAGACAAAACCAGTCCCCCTTGCCCTCCCCAATTACGGTATATCCACATAGATTCCGTTGAATTCAGAAAGCAGAATTAACAAAGCATCAATTAGGCTGTTAAAAAAATAAATATTCTTATGCAGGAAATATACTGACCCCTACAATTAATATATTAATAATCATTTACTTGTAACATTAATTGCATGACTCATAGTGCCTGAATTTTTTGTTTAAAAAACCGCCCAAACATCCAGAAAACAAAGGCCGTGGGGCAGGGGTGTCTGAGGCCTTCAGACACACTGAGCTGGCTCTTATTTCAAAGGATGAATCATCAGGATCTGGTTGGTATCAGCAGAATTGGCCTGCACAATAAATGAGGCGAGTTAGCCTTTCCCTGGAGGTGTTTCTGTCTCTTGGCTACAGAAAAGTAACGCAGTTTGGCCGCGAGTGAACGTTTTACATTATATAAACCAAGCAAAACATGTTTATATAGCAAAGGTTTTCTGAAATAACCTCTGGAAGTTCTCACAACATAGCAAGTCTAGAGTTTCAGTATATATTTCAGTAGGAACAAAGACACACTTGCAGTATTATCTTTTTCCTCTGTCCTTCCAGTGTTGATACAGAAGACAAAATCCGCAAGTCTCACCCCTACACACCTATTATTCTAGGCTGTATGTGTCATTGCCACGAAGTTACACAGCTCCGTAAGTGCAGAGTAAGCCTGGAGAATTCTGAATGCCATCTAAACCAAATATATTCGACACGGATACCAGAATCTGGAAACAATAAAAAGTTTGGGGATAGTCACATGAGACTGACTGCCAAGTTAAAGTAACCATGTATAAATTACTGATACTCCTGGGGTGCAGCAGAGAGTTTTAGTCCCCAGTTCTTGGCTAGCCTCTTGTACAAACGACTGTCCTATTTTATACCAGCTCTAACAGAATGAAAAGCAACACTTTTGATGAAGTCTTGCAGCTGATGCTCACTTAAAAAGAGCAAGAGAAGACAGGACATCTTCAAGCATTGTGAATGGACTAGAGGGGTTCTTGTTTGTTTTTAATTATGTGGCTTATTCATTAAAAGGTTAAGCTCCTGCTGTGTTTTTCTCACGCCACAATTTCATGCCACAGTTGGAGCAACAGCTCGGCTGTCAGGTTGGAGGTTGATCAGGGAATTGCTTGCACGGGCCAGCTCTGCGATGGAGACTCGTCCTCTCTGTTTGATGTACTGAGCCACAGCAGCCATCTCCTCTGGAGTGATGTAGATGAACTTTCCTCTGTCATCAATCACACCTACAGGGGGAAAGAAAGGACCCTGAAGTCAGCACTTTGGCTCCTCTCACTTCCTGACAGACATCAGTCACTTCTTTTGGAAGGGACGTGCAAACTGCTGAGGCTGCACTTCGTATCTAGGGCAGGCAGAACAACGTGCAAGCAGTCAGGCTTTTATCTCCTCTCTGCTGTTAGGTCTCTGAGCAGGGCTATGACAATAGCCGAGTGCCTTGGTAAGACTAATTTCGTTCAAAGTAACACATTCTTTTCATTGTGCGCAGCTAGCTGGGAGTACCACAGCAGCTACTTCAGGGACGTAGTTTTGGTGCTGATCTTCTGGGCCCAGGCAGCTGGTGGAGAAAGGCAGAGCAGGAGCAGGGGCCAGGACATGATTCAAAGCTCCTGCAGGGCCCAGCTCAGCCATTCTAACTTACCCTCTAAAAGGGAATGAAGCTCAATTTCCATATTTCAGCTGCTCCGTCAAGAGCGAGAATCGATCTCTCTGTTCTGAATGCTTTTACAGGACCAAATGCGAGGCAGGGTGCCTCACTGGCACACCTGTTAGGCCACAGACATAGCCAGCACAGTACACATCCTTACGCTTTGATACAGAACACTTTTAGGTCATTTGAATGGGTATCCACGTGTACACAGCAAGATAGGTGTTTCCCAGTCATGACCACGGTATCAGGAAAATAAATGTTTGCATTGGCACTACTTCATCCTCGGAAAGAAAAAGACTGCCCAGCAATAAAACAGACTTGTTCAGACAGGGAGCTACCCACATGCTTAGTCTCAGCTTACATTCTGACTTTAATTGCGTGCATACATGGCTAGGAACAAGCACTTCACTTACTACAACATCCTGGAGCGCTCTGGGATGTTTGCTTCTCCCACAGCGTGCCATAACCCAGGCCTGGCTTTAGCCACAGCACCTTTACAACAGGCTTGCAAACTACCCCAAAACATCCAAGAGATTCAAATTCAGATTTCAGAAGACATTATTTGCAGCTGGTTGCTCAGCAATCCCTTCAGGCCTTCAGCAGGGCTCAGTCAACATGCAGAAGCCTTGTGCTGGTTCCTGAACTGTTGTGGACATTCACCCCCCCACACCTCTGTATAAGGTGTCATAGAGGCAATCGCATCCCGTCGTGCTTTAAACAGTAATTTCATGGCAGCTGAAGCAGGGATAATAAAAATATCTATTAATCAAGTCCTCCTAGGATCCTGCACAGTTTAAAACAGAAATTACACTGGAAGTCTCTCTCTACCATAGTGAAGGCAATTTCTGCACCACCTATTTAACAGCTGCAATAAAGTCCCCTTGGTGTTTTGGCTGTCACCTGTTAGAGTGCCATCTGCCATCAGGTCCTGGATTCTGTTAATCGCATCCTGTTCAGAAGAGAAAAAGGAATAACAAACTCAACTCATCAAGAGGGAGGCAAAAAACATTTCACATGTTCAGATAAACTACAGATGGAGGCTTACATTTAATTTCTCAGTGTTAAAGACTTCAGTGAAGGACACACATCAGTATTTCCACACAGACAGATGCAATAAGCCCTTTGGTCTTAGGAGGATGAAGTAAGCTTTTGCATTTTGGGGTGTTCAAATAATTTCCCTACCCCCAAAAGAGACTTTTATTGCTAAGTTACCTGGTTGTTTCAAGGAATGGGGGATGGTTATAGAAATCTTTCCAGGGAAAGGCTGTATAGTGCCAAAGCAACACGCAAGTCCCACGAAGTACACTGAGGTGCTTCTCCAAGAACCTGGCTACACTCAATACATTCCAGAGCTTCTTATACGTTTTCCTGCTCCATTTAAGAGGAAACCTCTTTTACCAATCCAAAGCAACAACTTGTTGAATTTATTGCTGGGTTAACTCTATAGTTACTTCAAACATGCAGTTCCACTACACTTTAAGCTAGAATCATAGAATCATTTAGGTTGGAAAAGACCTTTAAGATCATCGAGTCCAACCGTTAACGTAGCACTGCCAAGCCCACCACTAAACCATGTCCCTGAGCACCACATCTACTCATCTTTTAAATACCTCCAGGGATGGGGACTGAACAACTTCCCTGAAGTGGCTGAGCCTTGGTTTCCACAGTTCTGCCTCTCTCCCTTTCTTGTATTTATGTGACTGCAGAAGCAAATTATAGTTTAGATTTCAACGAGATAAATTCCCTTAACTGACTCACTGCATGCTTAAATGAAGTTCTGGTTTAAGAGAGAGGCAGGAGCACAGCAGCCTGGACTTAGAGCACTGTAAGCTGCTGAGAAGGGGCACTCCAAGATCAGATTAGCTACAGCACAACAGAAAACACTGGTCACTTAGAAATAGATGTCAAATGTGCTCCAATTAAAATAAACCAAGCCATGACTATTCTTGAGAGTCAAAACATAAAATGTTTAGAGAACAGAAAAAGGACAGAGGGAAAAAAAAAAGTACAGATATCACACCATGAGCTCACTTGGACAGGCTTATATGGTGCTGAGAGGGACAATTTTCTTCAGCAGCGCACCAGAAGATACCAATTCTTAAACATTCTAAGAATACACATGCAATTGGAGCAAAACACCTCATCTATCGATCATCTGCAAACATAACAACATTGTCCAATTATGTAGGCAGTGTCTGAATTTGCTTCTAGCTCTGCTTTTCATTCCCAAGTACACTGAATTGCTCTATTACTACATTTGCAAACACTGTAGGATCCATTAGCCAACAGGCAGCTGTGCGAGAGACAGGCTGAGCACTTTTCACTGAAACAATCTTGTACACCAACAATTCTTCACTGCCTGGCTGGTACTTGGACGAATGGCCACCTTTTTAGAGCTGACTTTGCTGGTCTTCACCAAAATCCAAGCATTTTCAGTAACGCTGAGACACTTGCATAGATGTTACCTGGATTTACCCACTTTCTCTCCTGTCCTTTTAAACTAATTGCTTGTACTTGCACCCCGAAAGTTAGTACTTACCTGCGTTCTTAAACCCAAATGTGAAGCCAAGTCCTCCAGCTGGATTACCTTTGTTTTCTACGGAAACAAACAAGAGTTAAATGCAGCTGATGAATTAGAGGGTTAGCATATTTCTTTTCCTTTTATACAAAAATGCATTTAATAGACAAAGTAGAACCTGTCATTCTAACTAACTTTTCCTAATAAGCACTTTTCTCTGACAAAAAACCTCTAACTTAAGTTACTTAAATCAGTAAATGTGGAAAGACCGAATGCTCTGACCCACTTAAGTGAAGACTCAAACACATTTGCCAGTGTTCATCCTGAACCTTCTCTTAACATTAGGAGGCCAGGACGAGCACAAGCACAATAAACAGCCATGGCTCTCTTCTCCCTGCCACCTGAGTTTCCCAACTGCTACCTTCAATTTCCAGCAGGCTTTAGCAAGATCCCTTTTTGTTTGAGAGATGTTTCAAAGTACATTTTAAAATGATCAGTGGTACATATCAGCGCATACATAAAAATCCAGACAAGACTGGCAGCATTAAGCGCTTTAGTCTGTTTTACTAATGTCATGTGTATTAACGCCAGAATAATCTTCCTAAGCAAGTGAACACCTTCTTAAAATCATCAGTGTTGGAAGTGTACTGCTAGCACGCTCCAGCACAGGCAGCGTTATGATCTCTGACAACAAAGGCAGAAGCAGGAACTGCAAATTTTCATTTTGCTTTTGACAAGAGATTCTTTCTGCAGCCTCTCTCAGTCAGGACACAGTCACCGCTGCTCACATCTGGTTTTATGTTTCTCTGTAGCTCCAGAGAATTACAAAGAAGACACCTGGTGCACTCGTCTGGAGCTACTTGGTTCCTGTTTTCTTATCTGCAAAAGTTTTAGAAACTCATCTGTTTAGATGCAGTAAAAGGATGCACTGTTTGTAAGGAGCTTGGAAAATATAAAACTTTTGGAAAACTGTTCAGTTAACATTCTGGACTGCATTCCTAAGAGCCACATATGTACGGCCACCAGAGCTACATCTACGTTATCAGATGCAGTGCTTCGGACAATAAATACATTTGTTTCTGATGTTGAGATCACAAGCGCCACACACAGACTTAGTAGTTGTGAAGTTCGATGCAGCCAAGCTAGAGAACTGAATACCATGGACTGAACGCATGGAATTGGAACCAGTCCATGGAATTCAGTTCTCAGAGCTGGGAACTGCCAAGATTCGTCACATCTTCTTTTAAAGGGATGGGGGGGATGGGGGGGGTGCAGGCGTGCAAATCCACATAAACAAGAAAAACAGGATTTAAACCTTCACTTAAAGATATTCACCCTTAATGACCAAGTTTAGTGGAAGCTTTCCAAGATAGATCCTGCTGTGAATAACAGCCCAGAAGGTGGGGTGGAATTAGGATGTATCCCACACACACACTGAAATACAACGACATTGTAAGGTACCAAGCAAACAAAACACTTCACCACATGCTTCATGTTTTAGAGACAGGCTTAACTTTCATAGAGCAACACATGCACATCCACATCTTACTGAATTTATTTAATTTTAGGTGCGATTCTGCTGCTGTCCTCAGCAAGGGATGAAACAGAGCAAGAGCTCTCAGGATTAAGATGAGTAGGAATTTTTTTTTCTTTAGCTTCTAAGCCTCATTTTTCTTAAAGAAAAAACAGGAAGGGGTAAAGCCTCCGAATCTTTCGCTATCCCTTTCAAATGTAGTTTGCTGTTTCAATTCACTGGCTGTAATTCAGATGTATTCAGTGATACACCGTCAGGCTGGGTGAGCGCAGTGTGATGGGCAGAGCGCAGGCTCCTATTTCCCTGGGCCAACAGAGCTAGTGCTGCACAGCAAGGGAACAGCTCAGCCCCTCTTTAACTTCATTATTAATTTTTGGAAGCGCTCAGAGAGCCTACAGAGCTGGTCTGTAAGGTGTGTCGTGCAGCTACAGCACTGCTAAGTAAAACCCTAAGGCTCCCATTAAGAATTGGTTATTTTGCTCCTCTGAGAGCAGAGGAGTCAAGTCTGTAACGTGAGGACCGGCCACCGCAAGAAGGGAACGCACAGGATTGCAACGGCAGCAGAGACAATGCCACCGCCTGAGGTGTAACGTGGTGACATTGCAGTTGCGGGGCTACTACGAAACCCCCAAAGGAAGGGAGATGCTCAGCTTTCAGAAAAGCAGAATCAGGGAGCGTCAATCCTTTCGGTGCCTTTAAGAAAAATTCCATTTAAAACAATCCCACGAGGCAGAGCTGGAGAAGAGAGGCCACATTTTATTTCAAACACTCTGAGGAATGAAACATGGGGTGAGCTATCTCCAGTCAATTATATCAGTAAAGTAAGTTATTCAGCAGAAGAGCTAAATTAAATTTTATTTTTAAAAAATGCCAGCTGCCTTAAATTTATGTGTTTTTCAGACAGCTATTAGCAGCTTAGCACTGCTTCTTGATATAAGTCAACAGTTTCTGTGAGCAGAACAGAAGATGAGAGCAATACATAATCTATATATTAAGCATACTTTCAAGATTAAAAAAAAAAATACTAAAACTTGTAAAAGAAAGCAATGTCCCAGTTCTGCAACTCATCTCTACATAGGAAATCAGGTGTCGAAGCACTTCTGAATTAGGTTTTCAGCCCATGCTTAATTTCTCTGACGTCAAGTAGAAGTGACTAATATAAAACTATACATATGTGCTTAAACACTGAACTGAGAGTTTGTGACTAATCTGTTCCATCCATCACAACCACCAGGGCAACGTGCAGAATCAGACCCTACCATGTTAATCCCTTGGAAACCCTCCCAATTTTCACGGAAGATCCCAAGGGACATTGAAATATCCTATCGTTCTACCTACTGTTATTGATAAACAAGCTGCCCGAGGATAAAGAACAGCACATTTTTCTTAATTCAAAGCTTGGCTGTATCTTGAAAGCCTTAGATGGGAACAGGTGAACTGGGATCACATCGTACCATGTAGTTCACTTCCACCGACAGTAATTGAAACAGAGGGTGGTCTTAACAGACACGGCCCTTTCAAAGTTCCCCTCCCTTTCAAAGAAATCTCTGCGGCTTCTGTGGAAAACAGAATATTGAAATTGTTGCATGGCTGCAAAATGAAATGCGCTATCTGATGGTTCATCTTCACTCCATGGTTTCACTTAGGCTCTTTAAACTTGTTGTTTAAATCTATTCTCAGTTGTCTCATCCGCTTTTGGTGGTGCTTCTGCTCAGAGCTGACTGGCTTATGCCAGGGACTTGGTTACTGAAGAGGGGCTATTTTCATTTGGGCTGCGGCAATGAAGGTAAGTCCTAAGTCCGAGTGCTACTAGCTTAGACATTTCCAAATGACCCCCCCAGAGATCCCGTTGATCAGCAAGCACTTGACAGATGCAAACCTAGCAGCCTCTCTCACTGTGGCCCGATGGCAGTGAGATATACCACTGAAAGTGCCAGTGACACAGGAGGCAGAGAGCAGCACAGCAAAAGATGCTCGCACTGTAGCTTTGCAGCGACTCTAGAAGGATCGAGCCGTTGTTCAAACTTGCATGGCAATCACTCAAATTGACTCCTTGCGGAGAGTTACCCATGAGACAGATCTGTTTCTAAGTCCAGGGTTTTGCTGAGACAATGGACACGCAAAACTGGACCAGAATGGGAGATTCTGGATTAACAAAATGATTAGGAGGTAGCTAAATATGCAAGTGATTTGCTTATTAATAAAGCCTTTCAAACACATGCCATACATTGTCAGATAAGAATCCAGTTTCCAGTAAAGGAGGAAAGGCATTAATCAGGACAGAAGTTTGGCATAATATTGTTAGAGTAGAAAAATGCATTTGACCTTTGATATACCAATAGTAGAGAAAGAAGCATTTGTCCTTACAGATCAGAAGTGGAAATCCTCATGAACACACCACAGGTTTTAAATAACCAACAATACAATATCATGAAAGGGAGACTAACACACCCTGTTAAAAACACATGATCTTCTTATATACCCCTTCCAAACATTAAGACAACATTGCAAATTGCACAGATAAAAACAAGAAAAGAAATCACATGAAAAGTTGGATTGACCTTCACAATGCCAGTGTTTCAGACACAAACACATCCTGCATGCAGGCCACATGCTGGTACAGCAATTCTCATTCACGCTGAGCTGAGATGTAGAGATTGTTTTCTAAATCAGTAGCTGATGTTCACAAAAAAAAGTCTGAATTGTCCCAAATCCCAATCAACAGCAAACACTGCTGTTCATAAACTCTGAGGGTGATCCACCAGGTGCAGAGTTTATAACGCCTATCCTTATGAAAGAGGGTAATAGCTACAATCCTGCCCCCAAAAGCCAAGACAGAGCTATAATTACAAACCATTTTAACGACAACGGACATGCTCGTGCATGCTTAAGTAAATAATGCAGGCTTTATCTAAGGAATCACTTTTGTTACTTATTGAATACTTAAGTAAGTCAAAGAGGAAGTAAAAATTTCCCTTGCTTTCTGCAACTCAGCTCTTTGAACAAGGTATTTTACACAATCTAACAGGTATGGAAAAAGGAGAAAGACCAGTGGTAGCTTACCTTAACGTATTCAAGAAATTCCATTAGAAAGCTGCGAGACTGGATACAGCAAGGAAAACAATTGTTATTTTAAACTCATGAACATTGAATGCATTGCAAACTTGCTAAGTACAAATACTATGAAAGCGTTTAGCTTGCATGCTTCCTAAGTTTTAAACATACACATTGACAGAGATAATGAACTGGGAAAAAAAATAAGTATCTAGGTTTAATCTTAACAAGGAATTTATGATAGGTATTTTCTAAGACAGAATATGGCTCAAGTATAATTTGTGTTTAAATGTTTTCTGAAAGGAAATCATGGAATCTTTTATTCTTCACAAGATCTATACCCTGAAATAACCACATCTGGGTGAGTTTGTGCATTGTGTATTAAGTTACAACCAGACACAGAGGACGTTCTGTACAGAGGTGAAGTACAGAGTGATTCAGGAGACGGCTCATGCAGATGGTCAAGTGTAGCATGCAGCTGCGCAACACATGTGGAAGCTCAAGCCGTTTTCAAAGCTATGCACCTGAAATCCGGCATTTTAAATTAAGTGGCTCAATTTTCAAAGGCAATGCAAACAATGCGCGTTTAAGGTAACAGGAGATCAAATTACTCCGCAACCCTGGAAATCAATCAGCCGTAATTAACTGCTTAGCTCTAGACTCAGGAACTCAATTTTCAGCATGAGTTTCAGCAGGCTAGCCTCAACAACACAAGGCAGACTCAGCTATTGTAAGAGGATACTAAACCGCTTCAGTACATTATCCATCACATGGCAGAAGGGTGGCTTGCCATTTCTGCAAGGCTGGTGTCTCCAAACAGCTGTGTACCTATGATGGTTTCTGAAGGTTACTTGCAAATTGCCTAATATGAAAGTTCAATCTCCCCACTCCTACCAAAGATATCTTATACTGAGATCCAGGCATCATCAACTGCCTGTCAAGCTCTTTTGAGTGAGGAACACCCTTCTCTGTTCCCACATATAGAAAGATTAATTTCATCTTGACAGGCAGCTGTAGGAACACAGACAATAAACACATTCTACCTTTACAGGGTGTCTAAAGAGGAACAATTTAATATTTAGGTATGATCTGATCTTCTAACAGGACACACATTTTTGAAGGAACTCTGAATTGAAAGTATGCATTTTGCTGTTCCCTGCATCTTAGGAAATTCCCCATCACCAGATACAACTTCTCTTGGTGTTAATCCTGGCATGATGGAAGAATTTATCTTAATGGGAAGGGGTCCATAGTGAGAACTTGTGACGAATGTCGTGTTGACTCATTACAAACTCCTCAGCCCAAAGCCTCGCTCAGTCACGCTAAAGACAAATCCATTTAATTCAACAGGGTTGCTTTAGCAGAAGAGCAAATGCACACACAGCCCTGAAAAAAATACTTATCATGAAATGCATTGGACAGCTCAAATTTGGCACCTACAACCCAAGAGCAATTTCAGTATTTGATAGCAATTAAAATCAGTCTAACAGGTTTTCAGCAGAAGATTAAGAACACTGCCTCCCACAACAGTGGAACTTTTTCAAGTTTGCTGTAATATTATGTCAAGTATCACATTTCAACCACCATCCCCAGCAGCGCGTCTGCAGGCAGCCACAGGAGGAGCATGCTAGAACGTTATGCACGAGTTTGACATACTATCAGTAGCAATCATTTGCAACACTGAATGCAGAGTTTTCCAGCGTACAACCCACAAGCACCTAGGTTGCGTCCTGTGAATTCTCTTAACAGAAGCCTTTTAAGAGAAGAACTTGGTTTTTCATTTGATTTCACAGAAGCTCTAGAAAATAAAACCAAAACCAAGCAATTCCCCCCGAGATATGTGGGCACTACCAAACTCCAAATTTAGCCTCACTTTCATCTGGCCCACTGTATATGGGTAGGGCAGGGCTGACGACAGTAAAGGGAGATGAAGGGAGGAGAGAACTCGTTTCCACTGATACGCATTTGCCTTAGCACTCTAAACTAACTCGTAGGAGCGCCTGGTATGAGGACCTGTAGCAATCCCCAGGAAATACTCCAGGTTAAGCTGTGCCATATACACAATTTAGCTTTGGCAAGCAAAAACATTTGGCTGACTCCTACTTTCAAGTTCATTTTACACGAGACTGAATGCAGTAAGGGCAATCTGAGTCTAACAAAGATAAAGGAAACTGCAGTAAGAGACTAACATACATACCTCTTCCTCCGTCATTGATTCTTCAACCCCTTCCTCTTCAACTATAAAACTCTCCTTCAGCTTCAGGTACTCTTCATACTCTCTCTTCTCCTCTTCTTCCTTTGCCTTCCTTTTCTCCTCTTCCTGGACAGAAAAGACGACAAGTGGTCAGTTCACCCCTCCCCAGATCAAGTTTAGTTTTAAGTTAAGTAGCATCTTCTTTATCTGTAGTCTGGTTTTACTAGGACAGACAGCAGATAAAAGTTTTCTGAAATGAGTCTAAGTTCTCCCGTGATGGCATCATTAATTTACACAAGCCATCCTTAAGGTAGTAACCATCTCACATGGTAGTGTAAGCTTGCACACAATACTCCTAGGCTGGTTCTTAACAGATCTGGCACAGGGGACAAAAATCACTCTTATATAGTGACCTGCTTGCTTAATTTGCATGAATATATTTCTTCTGCAGATCCCGTGACAGGAAGTCCCTGCCCCTAACTGTACTTTGATGCAACATCCACATTTTCAGTAACTGGCCCCAATTCTGTTCTGACATGCACTAGTGTACATTGGGAGCGATCACAAAGAATCACTGGTGTCCACCTGTGTGTGAGAACAAGCTGGCCTGTAAAAGTTTCAAGTAAAATCTCTTTCTCATGACATACAAGCAAACTATGCCTACATGGAATATAAAGAACTATACAAAGTATTTTAGGCATAGAGGACAAGGTATGATTGTATTAAAAAAGGGTTTTTTTTTTACATGTTTGATTGTTAACCAAAACCTAAAGGCTCTGCTTTTAGTTATTTGCAATAAAAATACTTTCAGTTACCTACCCTGAAAGAAATGTTAAAGTCTAAAAAAAAAAAAACCCACATAAATAATGCCAACCCAGAAAACTCCAAGCCCGACATCAGTGAAATGGTGAAGCATACTAGGTTATATACAAAGGTTGCACATTCACAAAGCAAAACTGTGATTAAAAGTTTTGGAATGTGATAGATTACTTGAAAAATGTTTCAAATAAGAACAGGTTTTTACTGCGAACTCATAAATCTACAGCTTTCCATGATTTTCTTTGAAAATTTGTTTTGCTCTTCTCCAAAACACTTTACACATGTAACTTCTCACAGAAGAAAAATGTTTCCTTACAGAACAGTGTCTTCCACAGCGAAATTTATGTTTGTACAGCACCTGGTACAGTGAGATTCCAATTTAACTGGTCTCTGGTTGCTATCACACTGCAAAGGCTTGATCAAAACTTAGAAAGACGAGTTCTTCAAATTTCAGTTACAATCTCAGGGCATTCCTTTACTATTAGCACACAAATTGATCTCTTAAAGAACAACTATATTGATTTCTAAATGTTTGCCATGCTGCATCTCTGACACTAATACGGTAATTGCTTCCTCAAATGGCTGGAAAGCAAACACTTGTTCCATTAAGACAGGAAGAGACAGGAACAGGTCATTAAGTATATTCAAAAATGTCTGTATTAAAAAAAGATGCTATGTAAAGCCAAAACAAGCAAGATACCAGAAATGGGGATGAGAGGATAGCCTTTCAATAAAAACCAAAGAGAAAGTGTATTTGGTCCCAATTGTATTTAATCAAACTCCCAGAAAGTCACAAGAAGGAATGCTACCAACATGCAAGTATGAGAAAAACAGGACTGAAAGTATCTTACTGTATGTGCAAAGCCAAACCCTTTTTTTTAACCGCTATCTCACGAAGAAAGATCTGAGGAAGCTTTGGAGAGAAAACAAGACCATTTTCTAGGTCATTCATCACCGTAGTCATTATTAGCAAAAAGCCCAACAGTAGATTTTTCTCTTATAAGCGCTATAGGTGCCAAGAACAATATAACCGTATTTCATTTGGAAGTGAAGCAATTGTTCTTTTCTTGTAAGTGCATTAAATTTAATTTTGATCCTGGAAATACAAGAATAAGGTTCTTCCCCTGCTCTATTACAGAGGTTGTAATTCAACAGGATTTGAAATGAGAAAAAAAAAAAAAAAATCACAAAACTTGAAAATTGCTTTGGCAAATAATTTCTAGAAGGTTCTACAAAAAAAAAAAAGAAACAGAAGACACTGTCCCATTTATAACTGAGAGCAACAATAACTAAGAAATATTTTCCTTCTTTCTGGAAGGTCTAACAACAAATGAACAAGACTCATTCCTGTCTTCCTTACCTACCTGCAGAACAGTACCTTCAATTTTATTAGGGCATGCCAACACATTACTATCAATACTTCCATTTCTAACATATGCAGAAAAGCACCTCTGCTGTGAGACTGGCAAAGCACTCAGCTACCAGTCCCTCTTTTGTAGTCGCCTTAAAAGCCAACATGAGTTTGTTTTCCAGATCCTAAATGCTGACGCTACGATGAGCAGAGCACTTCCAGGTGTCTGAGCCACTGCTTTGGTAGCTAAAGTGTGTCAGCCCTCAAAGCCTTATGTTTCCTGGTGGTTGCAGCCTCCTCCATAATACTAAGTATTTCCAGAAGCTTTTTCATCTAATAACTAAAAATCCCAGCCACTTCCTGCACAGTCTCACACGCTTTACTACCTAAATTCACCTATGATTCAATCTCTAGAAAAAGACGGATTTAGCCAAACTGTAAACTGGGTCAAAGCCAAGAGGAGAGAGGACTTTGTACAACGGCACTGGGAGAAGCGACCAGCAAGAGCACTGGAAGCTGAGCAGAGGGAACCCTAGCAAAGTCAGGCTGTCTGTTAACACTTATTCTCAGCTATTTTTTTTCCACCATCATGCTAGCACTCTTCTTTCACACACTCGGGTCATGCAGCAGTTGCATGGTAGGTGCAGGGTCAAATTTAGGCAGGTTGCATTCCCACAAAAACCAGTCTGTCTGTATGCATAACCCCCTCACGGAAACACTCTCAGCACCCCAGGGGCTACTAATGAAACAGAGACCAGTACTTACTTTATGCAAGTCATACAGGGGGCACTCAGCTCAAATATAAATTTAAAAAACCCACATCTTTGCTAGTCAGGTTTCTTGCCCCTCCCCATTCTGATCTCATTAACTGCAGTGGAGTTAAGTGGTAAAGCATGTGGCTCAGAAGAGAGATAATAGCTGGGCCACCTCCCTTCAACGATGGGTGGGGTGGTGGGGAAATCCCAGCATCATGGAAATTTAGTAACTGCAGATGCTCACCTTCAGCTAGTTGCCTTTTTTTTTAAGCAGGTTCACTTCTCTCCTCACCCATCTAAGTGTTACCCAAACTGGGGGCTTGCTACAGTGTAAAGATTTCTTTTTCATCAATTTACTATACTGCGTGTAAAGAACAAACTCTCCCACTTTGAGAGTGTCTTTACTGAAAAAAAAAATAATAAAAAATAGTCACTCAGACCTTTCTTCCTTCTTTCCTTTTTCTGACAAAGTGTCCACAATATCACTGCTGGATCAACTCTACTTCTGTGTGCTTGCTGAGCCACATGTGCCACACTGTGTGGCAGAGACCCCAGAGCTTCCAGAGCTCCATGCAGCCTGTGGATCGCCAGCACTCTGGGAGACACTTTTCAACACCCTTACCCCTTCCTATACCTGATCTGGTCAGCACTAACTTCCCACTGCACCCAGTCCCAGTCCTTCCACTGCTCTCCAGGCTCCCTCCATCCCATCTGCCCACCAAGGACCTGGATTTGCTGCGAGGCTCCTTTCAGATCATTACCTTCTTTTCATCTCTGACCTCAATCACAATTATTATTTCCACGACCCCAAAAATATTGTGTCAACTGCACAAGAGCCCAATCTTTTACCAGGTGAAACCCACGGCATCTTGAAAATTCTTTTAGGCTTACAACTGGAAGCAGACCTTGACTTTTGGGTTCACAAATCCCTCTTGAGTCCTGGGATGCTGCTTGAGTAATTGCACTGTTCTGGCTGGTTGACAGATTACAGCCTTTGGAGGTTTACCATGCATTACTATTTTTAGCAAAGGGTGAGGACCCTTACAATACCGTCCAGCAAGAAGATCCTGAACCACCATTTCTAGCTTTCATTGCAGTAACCCATTTAAGGTGACACTGAGACTAAGCGATGTTGGCCTATAGAGTAAGTAGCTTTTCTGAGAGCTTTGCCTAAGCAGCTTTCCCAGAGAGGAAACTGTTAGTTGTGTGCTGTGCCAACTCTCCTCCAAATCAGATAAAGGACCAACTTGCTGACAAACAAATCATTTACAGGCAGCTTATTCGACTGCTAAGTGGAAGAGATCTCATTGCTAGTGAGGAAGGTAGAGCAAACACTGGACTTTCTTCAACCACCACCTGCTACCAGCTGTTCATTGTTTGTGGCTGTTTCCTTAACATGCAGAATGAGAAAGAGCATACTGCTCCCTATGCCAAATGCTTTGAGGTTCATGGACCAAAGAAATCCCCTCCTTGTACAGCATCCAATTTTTGTGCTGTTAGTACAGGTTCTGCAGGAAGAAAAAAGGGACTTTACAATAAATAATTTGGCATAGAGCAGGTGGATCTCTAAGATGCCTGCCCCCCTCACTGTTTAGACACACACACAAAAATACCTTTAGTAAGACAGAATAAGTGTTCTTACAAGTCCTCATCCCCTCAAAATCAGAGTAGAATGAGTTTTCTGCAAGCTTTTCAACTTGGACTTCCTTAGGAGAAATTAATTTTCAGGAAAGTACACACATTTGAAAACTGATGCTCCAACTGAAACTATGTAGTAGTCTCTATCAGCCTCCAGAAATGCACTGTTTGTGTACGAATAGTGGATATAAATGCCAAACAGATAATGACAAGCTCTGCTGAGAGGCACAGAAATCTCGATGTTCACATAACACTCCACATAATAAAATAACTCAACAATCACCATTTTAAAACTTGGTGCCTATTCTTACATGATCAGATACCAAATCAAAGAGCCAAAACTTTAGGGTCTTAGTTCTCAAAAGCTTCAACAAGACCCTTGGGATCACTAGCCAATCCTCCATTCCTATAGCTCTGAAGATCCAGATCATTTTTAATTTAGGCACTTAAATGCAAAACTGAAAGCCTAAATGAAATTGCCCTAGTTTGGAAACTTGGGCACAGCTGTGCTTGAGCAATACAGATCTTTTTAATGTAACAGTGAATGAACACCAGACCCCACT